AAGCTGCTCAAAGCACAGCTGCAAACGATTTCACAAATGCACAAATCCTGAGCCCAGAACAAATCCTTTGCCATTTACAATAAATTGAATTCGACCAATGCTGTTGCGGTCAAGCGACCGACTCCCCCCGCCCCTCAACAGCCCTCGCTGAGAATCAAAGTTGCAACCAACCGGGCGAAATGCTTCAAAACCGCAGGAAATTCGTCGAATTTGCCATGCGGTAAACTTGTGGCTAAGCCAGCAAAAAGGATGCACAAGGAGCAGGCCTTGCTGCAGGCCATTGTTCTATGTGTGTGTGTGTGTGTGTGTGTGTGTGCGTGTATATCTGTATGTGTATGCGTGAGTGTGGCCTGGACTGTGCATCTGTGTGTGCCAAATGCGGAATGCGTTGGCGTATGCATAATTGATGCGAATGTTTGCGGCAGTGCCCAGCTTAGAATCCAGAGATAGTTCTCATAATTGAGTCGAGCTGCCCTCACCCTTTGAAAAAAAAAGAGAGCAAGCCCAAAAAACTCAGCAAACCGAGTAAAAGAAGCTGTTGGCAAAATTGCAGAGCAACAACAAAAAATGCAAAGTTCATTTGGCAAGCTGAGATTTTTGCATTTGTTGTTGTATGCATCGAGAATATAATTAAAAGCGGCTTCATAGTTTGCTTTAAAGTGACTAAAACATATTGAAGTTGCTTCAATTAAATAACAAGTATATAGCACATCTATATCAATAGCTATTGGAACAACTATAAAAAATGTCGACACACCCATAAAATTCCATTTTAAAATAAAACTGTCTAGCTTAAAGCAAAGAGCTAAGTCCCACACAATTTTACAGTTACTTCCAGATTTCTTCTATACCAAATTGGTATACTTTTTTTATTTTCTACGGCGCCAGCGTAGTCATTGAAATAACTCATAAAAAACGCAACTGCCCGCAGAACCTGGCAATCTACAATGGTTTTTATGTGGCTCAAGCGTTACCTAGATGGTTTATTTCACCTTCCCCCTGGGTAAAACAGGCCTCGAGTTGTACCCGGTAGAGCAATAAATTAATCAAAACTCGAGTGCGACTTCAATTGTAAACGAGTGTTTGGTTTTCTTTGGAAAATCGCAGCTCACACCTACGCGTGTGTTGGGCAGAAAGATCTGTAAATGATTTGTTTGACAACAAACACAGTGGGACACATTCTCTGGACCTTTCGCAGAAAGGTAGCAGCCCCGTCTACCTATCAGTGCAAATGATCGAACACAAAACATTGTGGAAATTGCAGTCAAAGATTATCAATATCGTCATCGTCGTCGTCGTCGTCGTCACCAGACGTCGCCAGGCAGCGTCTGTGTGGCCGCTCGAGTGGGCATCATTAACCTTTTAAATGCCAACAAAAACATCGAACGGACAAGGGAACGGAGCTGAGACCTCTCTCTCAATCTCTCTCTCTCTCCCTCTCTATCTGCAAAATGTCAAACGTCATGGCACTTATTGATGTTTGCTCAATACTATAGACAGACCCAGCTCGTCGTCTCGGCCCATTCCTGTGATCTTATTAGGCAGCCATATGGGCCTGCACAAAGGGGTACAAACAAAAGGACACCAGAAGCGAACGGCGACACACGCGCACAGCAATTATCACCCACCCCCATCGGACTATTGCCTCTCCTCCGCAGCCATAAGTTGGGCATAAAGTCAAACGTCATCGTTGACAGGCGAGTCATTGCTCAATGAGAGCCCTCGGCATCGTCTCAGTGTTAATGAATAAGCAAAACAATAAAGTAAGGCCATGTAATTTCAACAAAACGTTCCTTTCCGATCTGATTGTGAGGGCTGGTCGAATGACATACGTTTCAAAGTATAATATATATCGATACGAAATAAGTTTGGCAGGAGAATCTAATTAATCGAAAGGCTACTGGGATGAGCTGAGGCTTAGAGATTTACTTGGAACGGATATGAGCATTTCGTTTAATTCCTTTAAATTGGCTACTGCAATGAATGTATATTTTGAGCATGAGACAGCAAACAAATCAACAGCTAGGCTTGGCATTCATTATTTAAGAATAGGTTTTTATATACAACAATTCATCAAATATATTTTATTCGAATTCAACTGCTTTAAAACTGCTTGCCGTTAGTGTGTAGAAAGCATTAAAAATGAACTGTTCGTGTAAACTGCTTGCCTTTCAACCCATTCAAGAAAGTAAGCAGTGGCTGTAAGAACGCAACAGCTCAGATTTAAATTCAGTCGTTGTGATTTATTTCAAATTGAAATTGAGTTTTTCCATCAATATAAGCATCCATGTCTATTCGATATCCCGCCGACATCACACAGTATAATGTGCTCTAGGTAAGCCTTTAACTTTGTCAAAACGGGAATCAGCAGCTTTTGCAGAATATCAATATTGTTTGCTATTCATAACATTTTCGAAAAATTTTCGAAAATGTTAAGTAACATAACAACTGCCACTGTTAATGGTTGGCGATTTCAATCCTTTTAAAGAGTTCATAACTCTTTTTGTCAATTTAGCCAAACCACAGATTCTTGCTTCTGCAAACATCACCCAATCCCAGCCCACAAAAGGCAACAGTTTGACTATGCAACAATGCCGACAATAGATTTCCATGGAAACCCGGAAAATTCCGCAGTTGTTTATTTTGGATACGACGCAGCCAAACACAACAAATGTCCACAAAAGCCAGCAATTCCAGAAATATATTTATTATATTATATTTTTATTTTCAAAGTGCATACTTAACAAACTCGATCAACAGGCTTTGTAAAATGTGTCGGCCTACAAGCTTTTTATACACTTAAATTTAGCTACAACCACAGTAGAAAAATATAAGTTTAAATTATATATATATTAAAAACATAGACAATAAGTGTGAAGAACCATAACAATGCCAACGATTCCGAAGCGTGTGCCCATGGGCAGCAAGGGCAACGGCCGCGGCATGGACCTACTCAGCGCTGGAGTAACACGCACAGAGGTCACGGAGATGCAGCTCAAATGGCAGGACAAGCCGTGTGAGGCGCCACCCTGCAAACAGAGCTTCTGGTGGGCCAGCCAGCCAAAGCCCATCAAAATCAAAGGTTGTCCCAAGTAAGTTTGCACAGATTTCTGGGTGGGCCGTAGACCCAAAGGAAGGGGATACCTTCCTACAGCCCACTCGGGTCAATGAATTCAGTAGCCGGCTTTGCCGGCTGATTGACCAAAGAAAACAGAAAACGAAAGTTTTGTCCAGAAGCAGCCAAGTCATAAATTGCGTAAATCAATTATTTAACACTTGATGGCATGTTCACCTGCCAGCCAAGGCACGCTAGCGGACACCTCCTCGTGCGTTGCACAGGAACAATGGGGCATCCGTATAGACGCAGGGCTCGTGTTGAATATTTGGTGCTGAAAACTAAAATTGACGCATTTTGTAGCTATACATGTCGTTAAATGCAAAAATAGACAAGCTAACATTGCGATAATTGTGGCCATCGCGGGTCATATAAAGGTTATTTAGATGATATAGCTATGAAATATAAAGCGAGACTTGTATATGAACTATAGTTTTTACTATAAATTTACAAGTTATCCAAGTTTTCTTTGCACTTTGCATTGGCTCGTGCACGACCTCAAATCCAGGCATGAGAGTATGTTTAGGTTTGTCATACATTTTCTTTATTTAAATAGAATTATTCAGTTTGTAACTTAATTCTGCCCCTTGCATTGAGAATATTGCATGTCGTAAATATTTTCATATTCACTTTGCGGGCTAAATTTGATCTCCACCCAAAGTTGCCATCTACCAAATATGGTTAGATTAAAGGAAACTTTGGGAGTAATTTATACTTTGGGGCTGGGTCTCGCTTATTAGAACCTTTATCTGGATAAAAGCAAATTCTTTTTGTGGATTCGACTTAATGTGACCTCTTAAGCCTTAATAATATCTATAATGTGTCTACCTTAATGGAACACAATTCGCGCTTTTATCGGGAAATCTAGATCAACGAGAATTATCCTACACGCCACTAAAAAAAACACAGATCACATTTGAAGATAGACTAATTGAATATGATATATAGATAGAGTTCTGTTGTTGACATATAGCCAACTAGTTGATTGCCCTTGAAGATAGCGTCTCTTGTCGAAAGCTTTGCACCTTTGACCTTTGTGGCAGCCACGCCTCCCATGTGCGACGCGTCGATAATTCCTCAGAAAAAGACTTGCCCGCTTGAGCACTTCATTAATTCCGCTTATCAGTGGCACACGTCAACTACTTAAGGTGGAGCTTACAATTGACCTTGGCCATTGACTTCGCGGCAGGAATGGGAACAGGCATAGGGACAGGGACAGGGACAGGGACAGGAACGATTCCGAGTAGGCGCCACCCACCTACATTTCAATGTCAGCGAAATGCGTGAAGTCATCTCTGCTCTAGGGGACGAGGGCAGGGGATTTACGGAAATGCGACACTTGGCAAAAACAACAGCCGTACAGCTTTGGGCTGTGCCAATTTCAAGGACACGGCACATAACGAGGTGGACAGCCAGGAAACGCTTTTAATTGGAAACACGACCCAGCTTGCGCCAACTTTTGCCGAACTGAAGTGGAGTACATAATGCGGCCTGCAAATGGCTTTGGCTTCTGGCTAAAGCGAATTTGGCGGCGTTTCAATTGTGCGGCAACAGTCAACACAGGCAGTTAATTGTTGGCATATGCGAGTCCCCAACACCGAACCGACCTAAGTTGGTGGCCGGTGGCAACTCCTGCAGCTGTTGGGCTGGGAGGGGAACCAACCCGCCGAGTGACCAGCGGTGGCATGCGATGGCCGAGCTCCGACCGAGGGCCGAGTGCTGCGGTCATTTGGCGTTCGCCAGTCGAACAGTGCGGTACAACGCGTGCTCCTTGCCGTCCACCAGGCCGGACACGGGCAGGACAGAGCAACGAAAAAAAAACATAAAAAAAACGGTATTGATTAACTTTCTTGTGTGTCTACACAATTGTGGCTATTTATACGCGGGCAATGCGTGGTGTGGAGCAAGTGTGATTTGTAAGACAACGCTAGAGGATCATGCCAGAGACGAACCGCAGCCCCAAGCAGCACATAAATCCAGAACACTTCCCAGACAATAGACCAGAGCAGACAGCCAAGACGGAGCAGCGTGCACAGAACTTCTCCTTTGCCACCAGCTATCCATATGCACCAGGACGCAGCAGCAACAGCAACAACAACAACAACAACTATCACAACTACAACAACAACAGCAATTATCCAGTCTACAACGTTCAGCGCTATCAGAGCCCGTACAATTTCCAGCACGTGGTCACCAACGCGTTCTCCGTGCTGCACAACTCCGTGGAGTTAGACTACGAGCAAAGCTCATACAATAACAAGCCCAATCAGGCCATAGTGCGTCCCATCATACGTGGACAGACGACGGAACATGTAGATCAGCCAGCTGTTGCCGCCGCGGGCAACGTTTCGTCCAATCCGCCATTGACGACGCGTTCGTTCTTCTCGCGCAGCACACAGGAAGTGCGCAGCTTTGCCGATGAGCTGAGCCAGAAGCTGCGCTTCCTGGCGCCGGAGGAGAACTACGCAGCCGGTGCTAGCAGTCGGAGCAGCGCCGGCACCGGCGCCTGGCTGGCCACACGGCAAATGGAACGTCCACGCTTCGAGACGACGGTGCCCACGGGCATATTTCTGCCGCCGCCGCATGAGCTGCAGATGCTGCCCGCATCCATGTTGCGGCGCCATGTCTATGCCTACTCCTCCTACCCCATGATCCTGCACAGCTACTACAATGCCAACAACAACAACAACAACAACAACAATAGCCAGAACAAGGACACCAGCCGCCAGATATCGTTAGCTGATAAGGAAAACAAAGCCTCCACTCGCCAGAACGGAGTGCGTGCCACGGCCGCTGTGGCAGCCGCCGCTGCCGCTGCCTCGGCCTCCAAACCCGACACCCAAACCCTGGCCGGTGGCCTGCACATAACCAAGGCGCAGTTCCAGCAGCAGCTGCAGCAACGACGTAACAATGGCGACAAGAGGTAATAAAAACTGCCCATCCCCGACCAAACCGCCAGCCCCAACCGCCGAACACGGGCTAAATACAGCACAAAATATTTCCATAAATTCAAATGCGAATGAAGGTGGAGGCGGGGGGGCGTGGGCCACACACTTTGGGGCTGTCCAGTGGTGGTTCCGTGGTTTGGTGGTTACTCAAGCAACCTACTTATCGATTGCGGCGTCAACATTTCAATTTGAAATTTTTTTCAATTCGCTTGGAATTTTTAAGTCCAATGCTGATTAATTTATTTGCCGAGTTCGTTAGCGAAATGAGTTTTGCTATCCCTCAGCAAGGACACAGAACGGACATCGCAATGTGTCATGCAACGTGCCTATTTCCCTGCACTCCTTCCCTCTCTCTTAAATAATTTAAATCAAGATGTTATTGGCGCTGGCAACAACAATTACAGGTAGAAGATACCCTGCACCCAGTGCCAAGCCGTCCTTACAAATAATCCAACTTCTTTTGACATATGTCTACATACCAAAAAAACACACTTTTCATGGCGAATGTGCTTTCTCTTCTTACCTTTCTCCCACACTTGTTATAGCGATTTCTTCGGTGTGTATAGTCCGATCTATATTAAACTTTCAGGCAAATCTATGATTAATACAAAAGCAAAAGTCCTTAGCTTTAAAAATAATATTTTTTATTTCAAAAATTGATTTAAAAAAAAAACTACTGTAGTCGGGTATATCGAGCTTTACATTTTTTATAAATGCTTCAAAAAGATAAGCCTCAATATCGGTCTGTATCGATAGTCCTGATCAAGAATAGATATTCTTAAAGTTTACATACATACATTTACATACATTTCCCCAAAAACAATATACCCTTTGTACCTATTTCAATGGGTTTAGAGTATAAAAAGTGCTACAATCGTGGGAAATTTACCTTAAATACCATATAATAAAACCAGAAACAAAAGAACTGAGAAGGAAGTAAGGCAGCAGGACATTGGACAAACGACATATGTGATTCGTATGAGAATAAAAATAGGAATATCAGCATGAGACTGAAGGCATGTGTATTTGTATATGGCCAAAGTGTTGCCCAGTTGTGCGGCTACAAAGTTTTATGTACATGCATGTACAATAAATAAGTTCTTTTTGTTAATGGACACAATTTAATACTCGTAATCTCAGCCTAGATGTGTACATATGTATGTTGACTGCATTGCCATATTATATGAAGATATACATCATTATATGTTTAACTTATATCATATTCCCCTATAACTGGCTATTTATATTTTAAACTTAAGATCTTTTCAAAATCGCTTAAGGACTACACCTAGGTGTCTAGCAAAGGAATAGATCGTTATAAAATCCTCTCTATTCACATAGATAAGCTTTCTATCTTTCTAAAATCTGTTACTTCACATATATCTTTTGAAAGAACTGGAGAAGCGTTTCACATGGCACAGGAACATTTCTCTGCCGCCGCACAGGTCAGCTTATATTTACTATTTACTCGTATTTGAGTCGTCATTTTGGTTGATTGCTTTGTACTTCAGGACCCAGACCCAGAGAGACCTCCTTCGTAGCACCCCGGATAGCAGACATTTGCCTTTTGGTGGTGCTGCTCCTTGGCTGGCAACTTCAAGTTGACTTCCTGTTTGTGGGCCAGTTTCTGCGCCAACAAACTGAAAAATTTGCATAGGTCACGAGTTCAGGTTCTAGCGCCCAAAGAAGTGCAATGTCTGACAATGTTATATACATACCTTACTATACTATATGTGTATAAATAAGCAAGTCATAAATTACTGACCAGTCCAGGGGCAAGTGCCAAGTCCTGCGCTCTCTTTAAACTTTTGTGTAGCAAGAAGGCTTTAATACTGCTTGTGCGATTAAAAGTGGGCTATGGGCTTAGCTCCTCCATCCAATGACCCAAAAGTGTAGTGAACTTAACGGAAATTGATTCGAATCGGAGATGACTTGACAAGCATTCGCGCCCCCATTGAGATGTGGGGGCAACACACAAATTTGATGTTTATCGCCTGAACAGTGCAACAGATTTGGGTATAAATAAGTATGAATAAACGAGTGGGGAGTGTGCTCAGCTAGCCAAGAACAAATCGCAGGTTTGTTGAACTGGGTCGAGGTTTACTAATTGCCTTCGTCTCCGCTTTAACTCACTCCAGACCCGTCGTGCCGCCGCCAGAGCCCTACATGAACATGATGTATGACCGTCGCGTCATAAAAGGAAGCAACTTTGGTACCCCGTCAATGCTGGTGAGTGTTAGGACCGACAGCAGCCCTGACCCGTGAGTAATTGCCTTTGATTTGCAGGCGGAGGTGGATCCATTCGACAAGGCTGCAGAGATACGGCGCCGCAATATGCTCCGCAAACGATCGATGCAGTGCCGCAATCAGCGCAATGTCCTGGGCACACCACCGCCAGTGAAGGGCAGGAAGCACGAAAATATACAGACGGAAAAATACTTGGAGAAATTGGTTCAACGTCCGCCGGAGTACTCAGTGGATACACAAACAGATTTGTTCCTGGAGAAGCCACCTACGCCTCCATATGTTGCCGCCAAAGTGGGCGTTGATGTGGGTACCGAGATTGGTGACGGCGAACTATTTCACTTTGATGCAGAAGCTCAGCCGATTATTGATGTACTCGTGGATGCCTGCATTGAGCAGAGCATGCTGGAAGTGGCTCACGAAATGGAATTGGCTGCGCTGCGCCGCAAGCAGGAGGAGTAATTACAAGGAGATTCGTTTATAGAGATGCAACCTATTAACAAATTTCTCATAACAGGTTCCTGGCTCAACGCGAGGCCGAGCTAGCCGAGCTACGGCGTTTGGAAGCCGAAGAGCTGCGTTTGCAGGCTGAGAAGGATCGCCGCTTGCGCCAGGATGCCATTGCCAAGCAGCTGGACGAGGAGATGCAGAAGAGCGTAACGGCAGCCAAGTTATTGCAGGGACACATTGCCAGCCTGGTACCAGAGGTGCTGGAGAACATTGAGCCGGCCAGCGATGCAGTCAAGAAGGAGCAATTAACGAAGGATATCTGCCCCTGGCTATCAGCTGAGGTTGCCCAAGAAGTGGGCCACATTGTGGACTCTCGCGAGATACTTACAGCCATCATACTGGAGATTATAAAACAGCGTGCAGCTGCTTACATCGACTACAAGGAAGAGGAGACAGAGCCATCATCGTCAGATGTCGGCATTTGTGAAGAGGAGGGATGCATGCTCGACGATATGGAGACATGCCCATGCGAGCCGGAAACTGAATATTCTGATTGTCCAGAGCCGCCGCCAGAGCCACCACATCTGTAAGGAGGGCAACAATTATAAATAAAATAAGATATGATTTGGTTAACTTCAGTTTTGAGTTTGAGGCGCGCCCGTTGGTCGTTAAGTGCATACTAACAAATCCAAAGTGCAGCTTTGTTATTGTGTCTGGCAACAAGCGGGCGTGCCTCGGCCGCTGCATGTTGCCACACACAATTCCATTGGCGCGAATATTGTTGCATCAAAAGTAATCAAATATTGTTAAAGGTTTATGTTTTATCGGAGTATTCAACAATAAAGACAAAAAAAAGTGAAAAGCTAAACGTAATTGCTGGAAGCCGTTACAAGACAGTGCTGTAAACTAAACAATTTATCGCCAATGTTGGTATTTTTTTTTATATGTTTGGTATTATTTGGCTTGCCTGTTTACAGTCACACCGAACAATCAAAACAGTCCAGCATGTCCAAAATATTCACACCTACAAATCAAATACGTCTTACAAATGTGGCCATTGTAAGGCTAAAGAAGGCTGGTAAGCGCTTCGAAATCGCCTGCTATAAAAACAAAGTGCTGTCCTGGCGCAACAACAGGTAAAATAATGCAAACATGCAAGATAGCCATGACTCATAAACTGAACCGATTTCCACAGCGAAAAGGACATCGATGAGGTGCTGCAGACGCACACCATCTTCACCAATGTGTCCAAGGGTCAGACAGCTAAAAAGGATGAACTGGTGAAGGCATTCGGCGCCAAAGATGAAACTGAAATTTGTAAGGAAATCCTGAGCAAAGGCGAACTTCAGGTGTCAGAGAAGGAGCGACACAGTGTGCTAGACTCGCAGCTCAATAGCATAGTCAATAGTGTAGCAGCACTTTGCGTAAATCCCGAAACACGTCGTCCGTATCCGGCCTCCATCATAGAGAAGTCTCTCAAGGATGCACATTTCTCCGTCAAGATGAACAAGAACACCAAGCAGAACACACTGGAGGCAATCAAAATGCTGCGCGACCACATGCCCATAGAGCGCTCACGCATGAAGCTGCGAGTGAGCTTTGCCGGCAAGGAGGGAGGCGGTAAGTTAAAGGATGCGGTTGTCAAGCTGGCCAACGCCGTGGAGCACGAGGAATGGGAGGAATCAACGCTGCATTTGACGCTGCTCATCGATCCCGGCCAGTATCGAGTCATAGACGAGCTGGTGCGCAACGAAACCAAGGGCAAAGGCCTACTGGAGCTGCTCGAACTCAAGGAAGTTGTCGAGAGCGACGAGCTGTTCTAGGCATTAAACGACTTGTATAAAATATATAGTTGATTATTATTGTTAACAAAATTTTGAATGCATAAAGATTAAAACTGTAGGGCGTGTGTGTTAGCATTTGCTTCACTTTCGCTTCTTCAAGTTTTCAAATCGTCGCGACAGTTCATCAAAGTCAATTTCATCGTCATCCCCGCGCTTGTCCCCGCCTGGCACATCCGGCAAATCGTTCGGCACGTTGGGCAGCGATGGCAAATCCATCGGTGGCGGTGCGCTGGGCTGCTCCGGTCCGCCGGGCGGCAGCTTTGAGCGAGGTTGAGGTTTCGGTTTGTTGGCATTCTGCAGCGAAAAAGACAATTATCAGTACATGATTTGTTGTGGTTCAGGTGTAAATATGAATCGTGTGCGTCGTTGCGACGTATCGGTCAAGAGCGAGTCGCTGACCTGCAAATTAACGGGATTAATCGAGGAGTAACGTGGCGGTGGATCATTTTGCGGTTTGGGGCGCTGTTATGCAAAATAAAAAGTTCAGTAAATAAAATCATAAATAATGAAATCATATATAATCATAAGCGGCGATAGCAGGAAGAATAGAAAGCTGACACCACGACCATGACTCATTGTGTTCTCTACACTTACACGCACATTCGTGACACCACAAAGACAACGAGACAACGGAGCGACGATACGTTTGGGTTATAGTGAGTAAAGGGGGGTAAACGAAAAGCAAGTTAGTTTTGGACCATGTCCAGGCATACTACGCGTCGCTAACGTACCAAAATGTTCTCGTCCGGACTGCCAGAGCCATCCGACTCACCGTTGTTGGTTTTAGTTTCGTGCTAAAATTGCACAATCATGCAAGGACATGCAGAAAGCTCAGCATTGAAAATACAGCATTTACCATTAACTTACATTTATAAAATTCGTATTCAAATCCTTTTCTTCTGCGCACTTGCCCTGCGCCGAAGTCGATGCCGGCGGCTGATTGGGCGGTATATTATATGCAAATGGTGGCGGCGGCTGAACGGGAGATGGAGCGGCACAGGCTCCTCCACCAACACCACCACCACCACCACCGCCGCCGCCGCTGCCACCGAAGGGCGGATAGTTAAATGGCTTACTGCTGGGCGGCACTGGCATGTCTGGCAGCTGTGGCATTGCTGGGTAGCCAATGAAGCCCATTTGGGGTGGAGCAGGCGCGCCTCCGCCGCCGCCGCCGCCACCACTAAGATTATTGCGATCTGACAAATCGATTAGATGATGCTGCTGATCGGGCTTTTGCTCCTCCTGCATGACCTGTGGATCAGGCTCGTATTCGATGTTGTAGTTCTTGGCAATGGCTATTAAGTAGTTCTCCACAAGCAGCTTGGGCGGCGCCTGGAGCGTCAGCTTGTGCATCAGCTTCTCCGAGACAAAATGCTCGCCAGTGGCGGTGCGCGAATGCTCCGCAAACTGTGGCCCATACTTATGGACAAAGATGTCAGAGATGACCTTCAGCTCGCCAATGTCGCTCTGCAAGCGAGGGCACACCCAAACAAGGCTCGACACCGGCTCGGCTATGCCAGCATCCAGTTCCTTCATTTGCTGTATCAAGCCAAAGCGTGCCAGCAACAGATCGCAGTACATTTCCACAATTTCCATGGCCTCTACCAGATAATCCTCACTGTAGATGGTTTAGAATATATTCAGACTTGTCAGCTGACCATTAGAATTGGCAAGTAGCCTACCGTATAATATGCTCCACTCGTATGCGTGCCCGTTCTATTTTACCTGTGGCGAGGTAGTCGGCAATTTCCTTGCGGGACTTTTGCGTGAGCTCCGCCTTCTTTTTTTCTAGCAACTTGAGACGATTCTGCGCTAGGCGCAGATTTGTCTTGAGTTTGTTATAGTTGGGGCCACTGGAGAACATCTTGTCACCTGTAGCTGAATTCAGTCAGTGTCCACTATTTACAATAATTTTCTCTTTATGGATGATTCACTTGATTAGGGAAAAACAAACTCTTTGTGTGACGTCACGGGCTGGTGTTGCCAACTATTAGGAACAAAATACATTAAATTTTGCTTAACAAGAAACCCGTTGGTATATCTTATATCAAAGATTCACCAAAAATAATAATGCTTAATAATCTTTTGAATTTTAACAACTTTCATGCTAGCTTATCTCATCTTTCCTTAGAACAATTTAAAAATATGTTTGTAAAAACCAGGCAATCTTATTAAAATAAAAGATTTGTTTTATTGTTTAATGCATATGCACGTAATTTTATTGTTATCAGCTTTTCAACAAATACATGTAACAAATACATTCAAAAATATATCTACAATTAAATAAGTGATAGTGATCAAAATCTATATAATGCAAGGGATTTTATCAAAAACAGCCGTTTAAGTATACACCTAGGTATGCAGCCCTGCCAACTCGACCGAAATGTATTGCTGCGTATTTTTACCACACTACTATGCTGTGTGTTGTTGCTTCATCTTCCTCTTCAAAATAATTCGCAAGAGCTGCGCGCTCCTTTCGCGCTGCACAAGACTTCGTTCAAATTGCCATTAATTCGGATTTTAATTACCAAAACAATTAGTGCATTAAGACAAGACAACCATGCGGACAATGTGTTTTATAAAGGCAAAAGTATCGCACGCGCGATTAGTCAGGAAAATTGTGAAAATTAAGAAAACTCCAGTGATAAGTGGCTTTCGGGCATTTGGTGGTCCCACAAAATTCACTCAGCGCCCTACATGCCAAGTAGAGGTACCACTATACATTAGACGTAAACGCGCCAGAAGCAGACGTCGATAAAAGTGCAAAACAAAACACAACGCTGAAAATATTTGTAAACAGCTGTCGGCCAAACGTCCGCCAGATGGCGCCGCCTCGCCTCGCTTGTTGGCATTGCCAGCTGCAAGTAAACGCCATATTTGATTCTGCCTCGTCGCTTTGGTGTTTGTTAAAGAAAGCGAATTTTCATACAAACAGCATAATTTGATGCTGATGCATATTGTGACTGAAATTTAAAAATAAAAGAAAATGATTTGAATATTACGTGCGAATGAGTGTGTGTTTTATATCGTGAGTTGTAAGGCGTAACAGCAACAACTGGCCAAGGCCCAGAAAGGTAAAAAAAAAAGATGATGCGAAAAGGAAAATTGCGCTGCTGCCTTACGAGGCATGTGACGTCACAGACACACACGCACTCACTGCGTACAAAATAATTCATGGCACAAAACCAACTACAACTTGTCCCTTTTGCAGCGTTCGCCATGGAACAATATATCGTACATAGCAACAGTGAGGACATGGAAATGAAGCCCGTCTACTCGGACCTGCAAGTGGTGCAAGTACCGCACGACGAAGTAAGTGTAAGTACAATAACACGACACCACAGAGCTGAACTCTGACTTAAAGCTTCTCGCCCGACAGTCTCTCGTCCTGCAGGACGATCAGCAACTGGTGTTCAGTGATCAGCAGCAAGTTGTCTACCAGACCGCCGCCCCCGCGCAGTATCAACAACCGCAGCAGACGACAACTGCGAGTCACTACATTATAGGCGCCGAGCTGCAGCAGCAACAGCAGCAGCAGCAGGAAGTGCAGCAACAACAGCAGCAGCAGCAGGTGGTTATGCACCATCAGCATCAGCAGGTGCACTACCAGCAGCAACAGCAGGAAGTGCAGCAGCAGCAGCAACAGTTGCGTCTGGAGCAACAGCAGCAATATGTGCAACAACAACAGCCCGCCATTCAGCACACACAGCAAATCTATTACACATCAGACCAAGTGCTGCAGCCCAATACCATTGTGCAGCATGCATCCATGCAGCAGCTGCAACAGCAGCAGCAACAGAAGAAACAGCAGCAACAGCAAGTGCTGCAGCAGCAACACCAGCAACAGTACCAACAGCAGCAGCAGCACACCGCCTATCAACAACAAACCACGTCACTGGTGCAGGCCACTCCTCAGCAGCAGCAGCAGCAATTGCTGCAGAGCCCACAGCATCAGCAGCAAACGCTGCAGCTGCAAACGGCACCAGCGCAACAGCAGCAGCCGCAGCAGCACCCGCAGATTGTCTACCGCATGACGACCACGCAACAACAGCAGCGCCAAATAAGCGTAAGCATTTTGAATAAGACACCTCATAAGAACCCTTTATGGCAATGGGCTATGGACAAGCAATTCCTTTCGTGCTCAAAAATGTATGTGTATTAGTATCAACGAACATCTCAAATCTCATCTGTAGATTTTCCAAAAACGCCAAATATTTGACCTATAAAATGAATTGTTTACAAATTTAAGTTACCTTTTTGAAATTAGTTCATTTTTATTTGGACCCAATATTTATTTGAAGACATACAAAGAGCTGCGCGTTTCACACCTATACTTAGTTGTATATATATATATATATATATATATTAATACACAAGAAAATAAGGGACGAGCCAAGATCTTAAAAGGAGCTCTTAGCTCGACGAGCTCAAAAGGGAAACTGAAAGTAGTTTATGACAGTAGAATAATGACATCAAAGGCCGAGTTGATTGTTAGTTATCGGCATCTTCTTAACGAGCAATATATCTTTATTATGACAGCTCTCTCAGCCTACGACAAGTCGAACTTAATACTTTTTTTATTCAACAAATGAGAAACAACAAATAATTCATTAAGAAAAACATCCTAGTCCCAATGACTGTCCCATATTAGTCTCAGTTTCTCTGGTTTCGGAAATGCATTGATATTATTTAGGTTTATGTGTGAGTTGTGTCGACAAAGAAAACAATACGATATATAGACTAATGCGCATAATTTGCTTACAGATGCTCAACAACACGCATGTGATTGTGCAACAGCCGACAGGACAGCAGGTGTTGATACAGGCCCCACAGCACCAGGAGCTGATTATGCGACAGGCCACTGGCATTCCACAGCAGGGTATCAATATTCACGCGTACAACAATCGCGTAGTGTACACCACCTCGCCCCAGCAGCAGCAACAACAGCAGCACGTACTGCAACAACACGTGCAACAGCAGCAGCAGCAGCAACAACAGCTACATCTACAGGCCCAGACCACACATCTTGTGCAGACGCGTGTCGTGCCGCAGCAGACA